AGCATGTAAGTAAGAGATATTTACTCAGCTTAACTACTGTGGGGAAACATTATACAGCATAAAATGTCCAACAATAGGAAAATGGTTGGAATACCTTGTGGTCTATATATACTAAGGCATATTACGTCGCTAATAAAAAGAATTATATCTCCATTGAACTAGAACCACACTGATGACATGTCCCCAAAAAGATAAAATGCAAGTTATGCAGTGAAGGGGTATGGTAGCAACCAATTTGTCTTAAAAAACAAAACAAAACAAAAAAACCCTCTACAAATGTTTGTACACACGAACATGAGAGGACAATATGGAAAAATACAACTGGACTGAACTGTCAGTGTCGGCTTTCTTGGGAATTAGGCATGGGAGGAATGAGATAATGGGCTTTTCCTCAGTTTACCACTATGTTACTTAACTTGTTAACATGGTATAAATTACTTTTACTTTGAAAGGTGAAGCCAATAAATTATTATCATACATGTATATATACATGTATGTTTGTGCATGTATGTATATGTATAAATAAATGCATACCCCTCCAGTATGTTTGTGCATGTATGTATATGTATAAATAAATGCATACCCCTCCAGTATGTTTGTGCATGTATGTATATGTATAAATAAATGCATACCCCTCCAAAAAATCAATTATTCTACCAAAAAGATTCATGTACTCATATGTTCATCCCTGCACTATCCACAATAGTGAAGACATGGATTGGCCCAGGTGCCCATCAACAGTAGATTGGATAAAGAAAGTACAGTACATGGATAGTATATGCCATAAAAAACAATGAAAACATGTCCTTTGCAGCAACATGGATACAGCTGGAGACGATAATACTAAGCAGATTAACATAGGAACAGAAAACCAAATACTGCATGTATTCACTTATAAGTGGGAGCTAAATATTGAGCACACATAGACATAAATATAACAGCAACAGACACTGTGGATTACTAGAGGGTGGAGGAAGTGGGGATGGGTTAAAAAAAAACTACCTGTTGGGTACTGTGCTCACTACCTGGGTGACAAGATCCATACTCCAAACCTCAGCATCACACAATATTCTCATTTAACAAACCTGCACATGTACCCCCTGTATCTAAAGAAAAGTTGAAATAAAAATAAAAGTAAATACAAATATGTGTGTTTATAAAGAGAGAATAAACACATAAGCACTCACGCAAACAGCATGCCAAATCTACAATCTCAAAAAAAATAAAATAAAATCCTTAAATTGTTCTTTGGAAATCTTTAAAATCAATAGTTAGGCAGAATAGATACTATGTAACCACAAAAATTAAAAACTAAAAATTCAACAACAAAAAAAAGGCAGAAAAGAAAGAGCCTCCCATTAAATTTTGTTTTAGGCTGGGGATGATGGCTCATGCCTATAATCCCAACAGTGGGAGGCTGAAGCAAGAAGAGCACTTGAGCCCAGGAGTTTGAGACTAGCCTAGGCAACAACACGAGATCCTATCTCTATTTTTCAAAAGCAAAAATATTAAATTTTTTTTTGTTTTAGTGTCCTTTAAGGCAAAAGGAAAATATGCAACACAGTTTAAAACTTAAAGCGGAACACATTTCTAGTCTAGCACAGGAATGGCACATGTCAGCTATGTGTCAGAGACCATGTCTTGTCCTTTCACAATGTAACTCTGGAGCTCCTTTCACCTATTTCCTCACCCTTTGAATCTGGTCTGGTCTCCTGACTTGCTTTGACTAATAACATGCAATGACCCCATGATGACCAAAGCAAAACGTTATGAGGCCTTGATAGCTTCTGTTTTCACTCTACTGAAAAGATTCTGCCACCACAAAAAGAAGCCTAGTCTAGCTTATCAGGAAATGAGAGGCCACGAAGATAACCAAGATCAACAAGCCACAGCCAACTGCTAGACATGTGACTGAAGCCATTCTGGACCATCCTCCACGATTCTAAATCCAGGCTGTCTTCTCTGCCACCTTAACATTCTACCCTTGATACCTTCAACCTCTACTGTGGCTTAACCTATTAACCATATTCTAAATGCCAAATCTGTAATTTCACCTCTGAAGTCACCTATACTCCAGATCCATATATTCAAACATCTTTTGGATACTATCATTTGGATGGCCACAGGTATTTCAAACACAAGCTCCAAATGGAACTAATTATCTTACCTTGTCCTCCTTTACCTATAAATATATCTTGATGAGTAACATCCTCAATCATTCAGCCTTAACCTCATTCTCTTCCTTGATACAAATCCAGTAGGTCTCAAGTCCTATCCACTCAATTCTACTTCCTCAGTATTTCTGGAATCCTCTTTTCTATACCTTGACTGCCGCTACCATAAATAATCATTTTTTACTTAGATGACAGTCAGATCCTCAGAACTGGACAACTGAGATTGGATCTCCAAGTTAAAGGCATGTTATGCAGGACCTTAAAAGGCTAGCAGAGGAATAATGACATGATACAGGACTGCAGTCCTGCTCTTTTCTCCACGCTAAAGCCAGAGAAATAGAAAACTTACACCTGATCATGTCATTCATTCCCCTGCTTACAGTCCTAGAACTCTAAGTCCCCATAGCTTCAGGATAAAATCCCAACTTAGCTTGACATAAAAGCCCTTTATGATCCTTGCATACCTCTCCAGCTTTATGTTACCAGCTGCCCCCTTGCCCTATCCCAGTCACCATGGATACAAAAAAAACACCCTATATACACCTATAACCACATTGGACTGCTTTGCAGTTTCTTGAATGTGATATGCATTCTCTAGCTTCTCTTCCTTTATATAGGCTTCTCCCTCAGCATGGCTTTCCTGTCCTCTTTACCACACTAAACCTATATAAACAAGATTTAATTCAGGTGTCACCTCATCTAGGTCACCCTTTTTGACACCCTTAAAGAATGTAGGTTAGGCTCCCTTTACTAGGAGTTCCCAGAGCATCATGTGCTCACCTATACAACATCATTTAACAGTGAATTTCCACGGTGGAGATAATGCATTCAAAGACACAGTGAGTGGAGTCTGATTATAGTCAAGCGAAGAATAGTAAGAACTAAGATTGGATCTCCAAGGTAAAGGCATGTTACACAGGACCTTAAAAGGCTAGGATGATGCAGAAAAAGATTTCTGCATAAAGGGATGACAGAGTCAGAGTATGGTTAGAACTGGAAAATACTATGTAGTCTAGCCCCTTCATTTTTATAAAGGAGAAAATTAAGCCCCAGGAAAAGGACTTGCTCAAAATCATTTTAAAATTATAGCTTTGGGAATATGGATCTGCAGCAGTGCTTGGAATGCATATGGGAAAAGGAGAGGCTAGAATCACAAAAGCCAGTTGAAAGTCAAGTCAGTTTTCTAATAGAGCTTCACCCAACAAAACTTTCCGTAAAGATGAAAATGCTCCAATTCTTTATTTATTAAATATGGTAGCAACAAGCCATATTTGAGCACTCAAATTTTTAATTTACTTTTTTTTTTTTTTGAGACAGAGTCTCAGGCTGAATTGCAATGGCGTGATCTCGGCTCACCACAACCTCCACCTCCCAGATTCAAGGGATTCTCCTACCTCAGCCTTCTGAGTAGCTGGGATTACAGGCACCCGCCACCACGGCCAGCTAATTTTTGCATTTTTAGTAGAGACGGGGTTTCACCATGTTGACCAGGCTGGTCTCAAACTCCTGGCCACCCACTTCGGCCTCCCAAAGTGCTGGGATAACAGCCGTGAGCCACCTTGCCCGGCCTTCTATTTACTTTAAACACAATTTGCCATGTGTGGCCACCATATGAGATGGCACAGGTCTAATGCATTTTATGTCCAAAGGGAAATAGCCTGAGCAACAATTCACTTCTACTAACAGGAAAAACTAAAACGACTATCAACACTTTAAAATTGGCTAGTATCACATTATCTTACCTCCTCATAGCTTGCGGTTCTATCAATCCGGTGAATAATATCAATATTCACATTCCCCAGTCGTTCAGCAAATGTAAGAAACTGGAAGGAAAAGCATATTTAAGGTACATCATCAATTTAATATTTATCAGATCTTGAATACCTATTTGAATGCTGTATGCAGGCATCACTAATGAATCACAAAGGGCAAGTGGAAAAACATAGGGCTGTAAGCATGTACTGCATCACTATTCAGAGATGATGAATACTTCTATATGTTTGCATAATTTCTCTCAGCTATGTCATTTCAAATAAAATTTCCAATGCCAGGCTCGTGAGCCTAGGTAAACGCTGGCAATTAGTCTCGCTAGATCTATTAGGTTTCATAGCTTCCCACAAGCATGGGGACCTAGCAAATTCGCTGCGACAGAAGTGTTTTTTAAACACATACAGACCTATGACTGTATCCTAACGAAGACCTGGAAACAAACTATCAAGGGGCAAGTAGAGAACGCGCTGTAGAGTTGGCCTTAGCTGAGAATCACTCACCATCAGCCGGCTCGCCCAATTAAGTCTTTAAACATAAAAGATAAGGGGAGAATCGGTCTTAAGCAATCTCCTGGGATAGTGAATTTAATTCTGGACTGCAAGAAATTCCCAAGACTGGCCAGACCCGATAAACCATGGGCCAAACTTCCTGTCCAGACCTTTCCTCCCCAACCCATGTTTACTACATCGAGTCTCCCTCTTTCGCCGGAGCCTCCAGGCAAGTGACACACTCGGCCTAAAAGTCTGAGGCCCCTGGAGTCCCACTCAGAGCCTGTCTCACGACTGAGGCAGTGGAGACCCGCGGCTCCCTGCTCAAGCTCCCGCGCTCACCCGGTAGGTGTTCTCGGTCTTGTGGGAAACCGGCTTTATCTTCATGGCTGCAGAGGAGCAGCGGCCCGCGACGCCCTCGGGAGTGTCGAAGAAATGTAACCGACAGTAAGGAGGGGAAAGTGGCTAACAAGAGTTACTCTCCGATTCCCAGATGCCCAGAGTTTGTCACATGCAGCTTAAGTTCCTGGGTGCCGCCATGTTAGCGACAAGGAGGAGCCTGAGTGGGTCACGTGGACGGAAAAAGAGCACGGAGCAGGCGCGCCTTTCGCTGGGTCCTACAGGAGGCGGGGCAGCGCACTTAGGGCGGATGTTTGGGTGAGACGTGCTTTTCACTCCCTTCGGTAAAAGTTTAAAAGACAAGTATGTATTTTCATTATAAAATAAAACGTGCCGGTCATCATTATCAGCTAACATTACTGTCCCTCACTATGTACCTTGCACCGTGCAAAGATCTTTCTATCCATAATTTCACGGTAAAGCTTATTGGGGATGTTAAATAAATACAAAGAAGGTACTGTGTGTATTTTTAAGCCACTTTGAGACAAGGGGAAACAAGGTTGTGCAGTTGGTAAGTGGCAGTCTTCACTCAGGCTCCAAATTTTGGTATTCTTAACCACTACGCGGTAAATAAAATTGAAAAATAGAAAAGGAGTGTTAAAGAAAAATCTTTTTGCTTTCATGCACAATCACTGTAATGTTTTGGTGTTTTTCCCCACTTTAAAGTCTATGCATAACATGTTAAGCATAATTGTACAGTGTTTTATGTATACACAATTTTTAAAAAACGTGCAGATTTCAGAGAAGGCTGCAGTTAACTGAGGGTAGAAGCCCCCACTCGAAGTAAGATTTTCCCAGTGTCTTGCCAAAACTCCCCCACATCATTGTACCATTTTCCTTCTCTGCAATTTATTTTTAGTAATGGAGTTAACTGGGCAATAAAAGGTGAAGAGAAAAATCAAAGAAACTAGAAAAACTGACACAAGTTATATTGACCATTTATTGTTTGTGGTGTTCTTCATTACATGATTCTCATACATTGGCTTGACTCTAACTGCCTTAACAATATGTCAGTAGAACATGGTGGTTGAGAGCATAGATGCTGGAACCAGATTGTCTGGAGTTAATCTTGGTTCTACCATTTATTAGTTGGGTATATTACCCTTTCAGAGTGACATTTCTGTATATGTAAATGAAGCTAATCAAAGTACCTACCTCACGGGTGGCGGTTATGCAGAGTAAATAAGCTGATGGATAAAAGATGCTTAGAATGTGCCAGGCACCATAATTGCGTAACCTCAGAAGTTACCTAACCTTTCTGAGACCGGATTTCCTCATCTATAAAGTGGAATTAATAGTAATACCAATCTTTCAAGGCATTGTGTTGGTGCATAGAGCATGAAATAAATGTTTGCTAAGTGGATAAATAAATGACTATTTATTCTCTACTATCTGGCTACCTGACAAGTTCCTTAAAGGCAGACATACCTTACACTTCTCCAACTTTGTATCAGCAGCAGCTCCCTTGAACTTAAGAGTTGTTTAATGAATGTCTGTTGAATTAGCAAAGCTTATATACTTATTTTGATCCTGACTAATGTAAGAGTAATATAAATCAGGCGTTGGATGTGAATTGCACCATATGATTTTGGATCTCTCTCAAAACTAAGTTTTTAAGCTTTAATGGAATATCCAAAGCATCCATAAAGAGCACGAGTGTTTCTTATAAACATCTCCTTGCCTCCAGCTTCTGTCCTCTGTCAAGGCCTTTGGATACCCTGGACCATCCTTTATTTCCTTTTTCCATTAGGACTCTGCCTGTCCCATCTATTTCATCCAGAAAATTACATGCATAACTTTTTCCTTCTTTTCTTCTTAAACTTTATAGGGAGCTCCTGGAAGTTTTGCTTTGTCATTTTTGTTTCCTTATTGATGAGTATGCTGCAATTTCAAGCCAAGAGACTAAGAGCATGTGAGAGCCAGGCTCAGTGGCTCATGCCTTTAATCCCAGAACTTTGGGAGGCTGAGGTGAGAGGATTGTTTGAACCCAGGAGTTTGAGACCAGTCTTGGGCAACATGGCAAAATCCCATCTCTACAAAAAATACAAAAATTAACCAGGCATGGGGATGTGCACCTGTAGTCCCAGCAATTTAGGAGGCTGAGGTGGAAGGATCACTTGATCCAGGAGGTCAAGGCTCCAGTGCTGATTGTGCAGCTGCACTCCAGCTTGGGTAACAGAGTGAGACCCTATCTCAAAATGAAAGAAAAGAAAGAAAAAGAGAGAGGAAGGAAGAAGGAAGGAAAAAAGGAGGGAAGGAAGGAAGGGAGGGAGAAAGGGGAAGGAGGGAGGAAGAGAGGGGAGGAAGGGAGGAAAGGGAGGGAGGAAGGAAGGAAAAAAGGAGGGAAGGAAGGAAGGGAGGGAGAAAGGGGAAGGAGGGAGGAAGAGGGGAGGAAGGGAGGAAAGGGAGGGAGGAAGGAAGGAAGGGGAGGGAGGAAGGAAGGAGAGGGAGGGAGGAAGGGGGTAGAAGAGAGGAAGGAAGGAAGAGAGAGGGAGAGGGAGGGAAGGGAGAGAGGAAGGGAGGGAGGAAGGAAGGAGAGGGAGGGAGGGAGGGAAGGAGAAGAAGGGAGGGAGGAAGGGAGAGAGAATGGAAGGGAAAGGAAGGAAGGGGAGGGGAAGGGAGCCCATGAGGGGTTTACCCAGCTTGGACGAGAAAGTGGAATCCAGAAAAGGCTTCTTGGAGGAGGCGACATCTAAGCTGAGACTTGGAAAATGAACAGGAGTTAGCCAGGCAAGGAAGGAGCAAGGGCATGAATGATATTATCTAGGTAGAGGGAGCAGTATACCCATTTGTCTCAAAATAGTTGAGATAAATTTGGTTATTTTTTGTTTCCAAGATAAAGCCACACCCTGTCAAATTAGCATTGGCCATGGGTGTCATCCTTGGACTAATAATAGGAAAGAATAGGGACAAGGTGGAACTCAGAGGTCAGAAGAGCCTTGGTTTTCTCATCTGTAAAGTGAGATAGACACATGAGAGATAGCAGTCATATGAGACAGTTGAAAGGTTAATTAACACATTGTATCACTTCTCAGACTTTTGGCTAAGATCAAGTGTAGTAATTAATACATTGCATGTGGTGATCTGGAAAAGGGCAAGTCTGCTTGGTGGCATGGTCTTGTTTAGAAAGGGGTTCAAGGAGTGCTGTGTATCAAGGCAGAGGGGATCTGACTCAGAACAAGGGACCAAGGAACTGAATGGAAAAAAAAGAGAAGAGGAAGTTTTAGTAATTCTTTGTTGTTTTTTTCTTAAATAGAGTCAAGGGTCACACTACATTGCCCAGGCCAGTCTTGAACTCCTGGGTTCAAATGATCCTCCTGCCCAGCAGAGTAGTTTTTCACTGTGGTAGTAAGGAATGCTGATCCATAGATCCCTTCTTGAAAAAACTGTGTATTGTTCACACTGTGTGTAAATCAGGAGGCAGTGAGAGCATGGAGTTTGGATTCAGAACAGTCCAAGTTCTAATTTTTCATGTATTAGCCAGTAACTGGACAAGTGACTTAACCTTTCAGTCTCAGTTTCCTCATCTTTAAAATAGGCATAATAATTAGTTCTGCCTTTTCCCTTAATGGTTGGTAAGAAGACTATTTGATATAAAGCAGGCAAAGTCCTCTGTAACCGACGCAGAGGAGTTATAGAAACACTAATTATTATTATTGTGTCCCTTTGCATTGCGTGATCACGTTCAGCCCTGAGACCACCAAGCTTCTATTCTCCTTTCCTTGTTTTGAACCTCAGGCATTAGAAAATGAGACCAGAAGTTTTGTTTACTAAGCCTGTTTTTTTTTTCCTTTTTTTTTTGAGACGGAGTTTCGCTGTTGTTACCCAGACTGGAGTGCAATGGCATGATCTCAGCTCACCGTAATCTCCGCCTCCTGAGTTCAAGCAATTCTCCTGCCTCAGCCTCCTGAGTAGCTGGGACTACAGGCGTGCACCACCATGCCCAGCTAATTTTTGTATTTTTAGTAGAGATGGGGTTTCATCTTGTTGACCAGGATGGTCTCAATCTCTTGACCTTGTGATCCACCCGCCTCAGCCTCCCAAAGTGCTAGGATTATAGGCGTGAGCCAGCGCGCCTGGCCCCCTTTTTTTTAAGAGTGTCTCACTCTGTTGTCCAGGCTGGAGTACAGTGGCATGATCATAGCTTTCTGCCAACCTCAAGCTCCTTGGCTCAAGCAGTCCTTCCGCCCCAGCCTCCCCAGTAGCTGGGACGACAGGTGCACATCACCATGTCCAGGTGAAACATTTTTAGTAGAGACAGGTCTTACTATGTTGCCCAGGCTGATCTCGAACTCCTGGGCTCAAGTGATCTTCCTACTCCGGCCTCCCAAAGTGCTGGGATTATAGACACGAGCTGCCATGCCCAGAGTACTAGATGATATTCTTGAAATTTATTCAATTTCTCTTGGGAAAAATAAAATCTGCAACACTGGGCCCATATTTTGAGAAGCAACAACCAGCCGCAGTTGAGTAGGAGCGGCCCTTTGATGCCACCGCTTCTTCTCTGTGCACACCACTCCTTCCGTGCTGTCCTACCCAGGCCCACGTCATGACTTAAGGCATCCACCTGGCCCCTGTGGAGAGCTCAGCATGCAGCCCCCGCATCAGAATATTCCTCAGGCAGAAGGCTGTTCTTGTCTTTGGTTTTAAAAATGCCTCATAGGCAGCAGATGATTTTGTTATTGTTGTTGTTGCTTCTACAGCTGCTTTTATTGTTTAATGCAGTGAGTGACTCAACATTTTGTTGTTGTTGTTGTTGTTGTTTGAGACAGAGTCTCACTCTGTCACCCAGGCTCACACACTCGCTCACACACTTGCTCTGCCACTGCTCCAGGAGTTTCCCTCAATAGCGGGGACACTAGTGTCCCTCATGGGGTGGTTATGAGGAGGCAATGACCTCATACATTGGTTCTCAAGTGTGGTCTCTGACCAGCAGTTTCAGCACCCCATGGGAACTTGGGTAGCACTGTAAATTCTCAGGCCCTGCTCCAACCCTCCTGAATCAGGAACTCTCGGGGTGGAGCCCAGAAAACTGCTTTCATCAGCCTTCCAAGTGATTCTGAGGGAGGCTCCATTGTGGGAGTCACTGACTTAACATATACTACGGCTCCTAGAACATTGTCCAACACAAACCTTGTGCTACAGAAAGTGTTTACTCCTATTCCTGTCTAGTCTTTATATAAATGTTTGCATCATCATTATTTTTTCTATTCATCTCTCTGATGTAATATGATAGAAGTAGTCTTTTTATTTATTTTTTATTTTTATGAATACATAATTATATATATTTATGGGCTATATGT